CATAAGTTATTACCTGTAACGGCTACACCAAATGTGTAAATTCTTATTTATTTAGTACCTATATGCACCTGTAGAAATAATACAAACACTATATTCGAAGAAACTTTCATAAATATATCACTTAACTACATAAGTTATTAATATAATTCATAGTATATATTTTATACTATAAAATTATAATTTATTCAAAACGACTCCAAAATCTACAAAGTGTATTAATATTATACTTTAAAAACTAAAAGAATAAAGCGTTATTTTTACCAAGATACGCAATTAAAATTACAGATATATAACTAATTTTCAAATTGAAATCGAAAATACACGGTGCCTATAAATACACCGCTAAAATTGTTTTCTCTCAACAAAATTTCCGTAGAAATTAGTTAATAGGCGTTGCGAACCAAACAAGACGAATACTCATTGGCCATTGCCCAATACCGGGAATCAATGTTCCGATTGATTATTATTCATTGTAATATTATAAACCTTAGTACCTATACATTCGTGAACCGGATAAGAAAAAAACATAGAAAGTAATGGTCACAACTCACAATAACAGAGGTAATATGAATGATGAAATCATTTTTAATTTTTATCTGTTGTTTGTATGGTACTAAAATGTATATCAAATTACTTATCCAACAACACGCGTACTACAGGTCAAAACATCATCATATTTAAATAACTGTTAATGAAATTATCATCCAATATTCCAATGATTATATTTATAGATAATAGATTTAAATGTACATATTATTACAAATAACCATATAATATAATTTGGAGTGCAATAATCATTTAATATTGTATCAACATGCGCAAAATTATTTGTTGTATTCTACCTTCTTTAAATTATATCTAGGTATAGTCCATTAAGAATTGTAATATAATGATTTTTTGTTTTAAAAAACAAAAGAATTTTGGTATCACGATTAATACATAAGTGTAACTATAAAGATAGAAAAAATCGTCGATTCATCGTGTACCTTAAAGTAGTAATTTGAAAAAAAGTATTGATAGGTAGGTAGGTACTATTTTAAAGCTTGTCTTACAGACACCAGTACAAGTCATCACTCACCATAATATATTATTTGTCTTAGTCAATAACTTTTTTCTTATTAGTTATAAATATTTTCAAAAATGTCACTGTATTATGGAGCTATATGTCTAAACGTAAAATTATAAAAAAAATTGTTGTTCGATTTCGTACTATTTTAAAATCTGAGTAAGAAAATAATATTTTTAAAAAATCAAACGCATGGTAAATTTGTGTTCAGCAGGTCCAATTTCATGTGGTGAGGTTCAATAATATAGTGAATTTACCTATAGGCTATAGTCATACTTAAAGGTAAGAACATTGGTTTTTTATATTTTAATTCTTAAACAAGTTATGTGAATTCTGTAATTGTAATATTTTAGATTATTACTCATAACTCGCTTAAAAATTAAAATATCCTAAAAATATCACGAAAAAGATATAATATTCTTAAAGTTTGATAATAGGTAAATTCTCTTTACTATTAAGGTTATAACGCAAAACTAAAACTACTGAACATAAAATTGTGATGTCAAACCTCAAACGTTTATAAATTGTAAAAAGTAGACACCACGGCGGGTGTGGCATCATTCTAAGATGTCAGATCAACATTAGTTTTCTCTTACCCACGAGCATATTTGGGTACAATAAAACCAATATTTTTCTGTCTGCTTTAATATTATTGAATTGACCAATTAGCCTAAATTGACCAATTAACTTAAGAGTTGAGAACGTTATCTATGTTTGAAAGTCTGCATTGTTTGGATATTTCAATTTGTATGCAAATAAAGCTAACGTACAAACAAAGGTCATGTTCTTAACTTAACATTCGTCACTAGGTCAATTCACTCAAATATTAAAGCTAACAACTCAAGATTAGTTGAATGTAAAATCGTCATATTGCGCATAGATTGGAGAGAGAAGACAAAATAAGTTTCGACATTTCACTATAGTGTAACCATAATGTACGCATTGACGTAACTATAAATGTTAACTTCCCCTAAATGTTTGCAGTTTTAAAAGCTTGTTTGGAATTTTGTTTAATAAAATATAATATTTATTAATTAATGCATTACTAAATATTATAATAATACGGTATTTCTTTTTTTGTTGGACTATAGCGTTTGATTTAATTGCGCCAATCCTACCTATATACTAAGCGGGGATGAACGAAAACAAACACGGTATAATACTGTTTCGTGTATTAAATTAACTACTTATTAATAAATCATAAGTTATTGAACATTTAAAAAAATAATAATTCTTTTAGATTTAATGATATTACCATTATTTTGTAGTTATTTTGTAATATTTTCTTGAAGTGTCTTGTCTAATGCAAATCTGATAAGTGCATAATATTTTGCAACATAGTTTAACAATATGTATACTGTATAGGTATGTTTGTTTACTACTGCAGGCAGAAATGCTATTTATAGGGAATTTTAACACAATAATATACGAAAAACTCAATGTTAAAGCTGTCAACAACTATTGATTTATTGTTCGATAAGTTATATTTTAAACTATTAAATAAACTATCACGTATGATTCATTTGTCTTATTTTAACACGTGATTTAACAATGTACACGTTTATATAATATAATACTGCAGCACGCTCTGTTTATTATTAATCAACCAAAATATCGTATTAAAATGTTGTGATATTTATTTTATTTAGAACGTTTTTTTTTTTTTGATTTAATGCAACCTTTTGATTTAAATGTAATGAGGCATTTAGCAATAAATAATGCATGCACATTAGAAATTAAATGTAAAAAAACAACGCGAAAATATACATCCACTGCAATCGAATACCTATTATGAAAGCCAGGGGGGTTGGTAAGGTGCTATGTGCATGCAACTCAACTACTGGACATGCTCAGTAGATTGGATCAATACCAAGTACTAACCAAGCTGGGGAGGGTAGAAATGATCTCGGAAAAGGGATGATGCGTCATCATTATTTATTTTTATTTTTCTCTTTCCCCCAACAACAAAAAATGAAAATGTATTACTACCAATGGAAACAAAACTGATAATATAAACAACTCCTCGATTTTGTTTTAATATTGTTAACCTTAACAGTGTAATGTTAGTAATCATATACATAAATATATCTATGGCTGATTAGCATGTTAGATAATGCCATAACGGATTAGTTGCAATATTTATTTGGTTTGTTGATGTACCTGTAATTTAACTTATTTGGCTTTATTGCTTTAATAAACACTTGAAAATATGAAAGTCACCAAGGAAATTTTTTTATAGAAAAGAATAAACTCTTCTATTATACTATTATGTTGTTTTCTTCACTTTCTATTGTTTATCGAGTTGACACATGTCTCCAGAACAAAAACCTTGAAATGTAATCTGTGAAATGTTAGTTAAAAAGATAAAACTGAATAATATACGAGAATTTCAATGATTCATTCACAAAGGATAATGAAACCCATACCCACTGATATTATATTAGTATGCTTAAATGGGTATATTGTTTTGTATTCACATAAACATGCTTTATAACAATGGTTTTGAATTATAATAACTCAAACGATTACAAAATATATAATGTTGTAACGTGTAATGATGATAAAATAAAATGAACAGGAAATAATTTTCAATAACAATAGAATAATATTTTAAATTGTAAGATTTAATGAAAATGACAAAATCTAGATAGGTAGGTATAGTATATTATGTACCTAATAAAATCTATTTTAAATTTTGTATAACTTTGAAAAATAAAAAAACACAAGTTGGAATTTATTATAAATTGTCAAATTGAATAAGGTATAGAAAGGTTACACTTAAATCCCTACACCTACACTATATGGAATTTTATTACATTACACACACAACGTAATGCATTTTAAGTTTTCGTGTGCACGGATGATGGAGTGCATTTTAAAACTTTCAACTACACATTGCAAATTTGTGACTTATAGACTAATTGTTCGTGTTTTTAATGAACGCCTCAAGAGACGAAAAATTGTATTATTACTCTTACATTGCTGGACGGCAGGAAGCTCATGATGGGTAGTATTTTTTTTTTGTGTACAGCTTTAGACGTACTTTTGCTCGATTTACATCCCATAAATGTCTAAAGAATCGCTCAAACTACAAACACAATTTAAAAATAAAAAAACATTAATCGAGTTATAACATACAAACTGCACTGATTAATAGGAGCGATTCGCAATAATTATAAAAACAACTCGGGCGTATTTTACTAAAATATAAATAAAATTATTGTTATCGAGTACCGAGTAGATTGCACATGGTCGCAGAATGCAGTACTCGCACAAAATTGACAAGTGCAATACTCTTGCATAATTTATACATTTTTTTTTATACTACGAAATATTATAATATAAGTACCTATTATGTGTATGGCACGACCGAGTAAATATGTAGTTTTATTATTATTTGCGACGGGTTTAATCGAATTGTTTGTGCGATGATAACAAATAACAATACGCACAACCGTTCAAGGTCTAAACGCAGGTTAATTTCGATGTATTCGACACATTTCGGATCGTCCGCTACACGGCATATTATAATAATCGATCGCGCACGTCTATTTTTGGTATTTATAACGACGGGCGAGTGTTGGGAGGCGACACGCACAAGCGGGTACCGACAAGCCCAAAACGTAGGACGGGTCTACTCGACGGCTACTACCGTACTAAACCGGTAAGTAGTGACTACCGACTGGGGGGGACCAATAAGGCACCAAATAATATTAATGAATAGCAAATACAAATCGGAGCAGACAGATCGACTGCAGACGATGAAGACGTCCGGAGCGGCAGTGGGGTAACGATTGCGCCTGAGGAGGGAGTGTACTGCACACTACTGCCGCCGCCGCATACGCCGTGATCGGAATCGCGTATTCGCGTCGCCTCGTCGGGCGTCGATGTTTTCCGACACGACAGGTTGCGCCCCGGGTTGTGTGGCTTGGTCCTTATCTCTTATCAGCGCTTAACAATATTTTTTGACAACGTAAAACAATTGTTTTCCTATTTTCTCGAGATAAAAAATTTATAATATAAATTTATAACTCCAAAATAAAATAAAAACCGTACACATTACGCGGTCACGTAAAACGTCGTCAACGTTCTTGATTGTATTTTATACGTTTAAACTACTACTACTGGTTACATATTATTATTATTATTTGCGGTTGTGCAGGTTAAGTTTATTTAATTTTGTCCTATAAACAATTTCACAAGGTATAGTATTTCTTAAATTTTATTTGATACAAGATTTGTGCCTAAATTTCCATATACTTTTTACGAGTTACAGTAATATCTATGAGAGTATCATAAAATTTGTTTTGTTTTATAGACAAAATTTCAATATGGACATGTTACGGAAAGCCTTGAGTGGCCAAGACCGAGACAATGATAGCTCCACTGGAATTTTGCCTGTAAGTAAATATTAATCTTGTTGTGATCAATATTTTTATGTTGTGTTATTGATTACAGTCAAAACAATATTACCTTTGTTAACATATTTAACAATATCTTCACAATTTACTTTTGATAGCCATTATAGTATTTGTCATATTTTGGTTGGAAGAGGATGTTGGACATGTACATTAGTTTATAAACCAGTTATAAACATCAGTCATCACTATGTGTAATGGGTATTGAAGCGAGTTTTAGAAAATTGACTTACAGAATGTCAACTTTAAGGTGGACAGCATTTATAAAATCAAGTTACAGAATAGTTATCTATATTGGGTATATTGTCCATAGTATAACCGTATATTTTTGATACAGGGAGCTAGTTTAGTCACTTCGCACATACATAGTTATTATTTACCTTAAGCTTGAAACATTCTGTATAATACATTTTTCTAAAACTTACTATAGGATTTCATTAATGCCTATGTTAAAGTATATCTTATCTACTATTCAAATTTGTATACAGAATGATTTTTTTTAAATGCTTTTATTACAAAGATAGAAGTAATATTGATATATTATTACAATTTACAATCATTATAATTTTTTAAGTATTTACTTTTTTTGAATAAAATCATACATTTAAATATCAAATGAGAATATTATTTGAAGTAATTTGATGATTAAACATTTAATTTTGATTCAGTAGTTAATTAGTTAAAGTATTTTAAGTTTAGATAAACGGTGTTGTGAATCAACATTCTTCTGATTTATTACTCCGATGCCACTCTACTTATATATTCATAGTTTTTAAAATAATGAGTGTCTCACTATACAAAATTGACTCTGTGTACTAATATAGTATATATAACTCTAGTATTTTATGTATTATTGATTATTTATTTTAAGAAATATATGATTTTTTTATAACTTATTAATTTATTTATTTTTCTTGGATGACACATACAATATTTGGATAATATTGTATGTTCTATCTCAATAGAAATGGAAGTACCTGGATTCTAAAAATGTGATTATTGAAATTATATATTAGTGTTACATAACTATCATTATTATTATCTATTAGTAACAATTAATTGAGATTAATATAATTTGATCAAATAGAATAATTTGTTAATTTGGATAATTGGATTTATGTATCCTGATAGTTCAGATACTATTCGATTTTATTCCAATCCATACTTTCGATTGTGTTAAATATTTATCAACATGTCAACATGTTATAAATAATAATTAAAATATTTATTAGTATTTGAAAATTTGTAGCTTTTTTAATAATTATTACCTCATTTATGATATATTTATTTACTATTATTTTTATTTAACAACATTTAACCCTAATGTATGACAAATGTTTAGATAAAGTACTTGTATAGTAATTTTATAATTTATGCTTGCAGAATGTTAATCAAATGTCATCGTTAGAATGGTCTACTCGTATAAAAGGATTTATTGCATGCTTTGTAATTGGAATTTTTTTTTCATTATTGGGTGCCACAGCATTAGTATTGCCTCTACATAGAAGAATGGCTGTATTTGGAATTTTTTATACACTCGGGAATATTACATCACTTCTTAGGTAAAATACAATACAATTTTAAAAAAATATTATAATTTTATATACATGTATTTAATTAATTTTCAGTACTTGCTTTTTGATGGGTCCTGTTAAACAAATAAAAAAAATGTTTTCGTCCTCTAGAGTTGTTGCAACCATTATTGCTCTTGCGATGATTGTCCTTACATTAGTCGCTGCAGTTGGTGTAAGTTACATATTAGAATTTTTCCTTGAATTAGTAGTTATAGTAATTTTGTATTTTGATAATTTCAGATGAAAAACGCTCCATTAACCTTTCTTTGCATCATTTTTCAATTTCTCGCATTGACATGGTACTCATTGTCTTACATACCTTACGCTAGAGATGCCATAAAAAGTTCAATGTCTACAATCATGGCATAATTCATTGTTTTAAATTTAATATATCAATTATATTCAAATTAATGGTTAACTAAAATTGTTATCATAGATGATAGTATATGAAATAGACACTATGATATCTATCGCTTTGTTATGCTGATTGTATTCCTGTACGTCAATTTGTTGAAATTTATACTTAACTATTTAGCGTTTTAAGTGAACTCAGTTATCCACCAAGTCATCATTTATGTGTGTAGCTTATACACTGTTGTTATTAATACTATTATGGGTATTTTTTAATACAAGCATTTATTAAAAATATAGTATTTACATAAACTTAATTAATTAAATATATTGTGAACTTTAGCTAAGAAACAATAACTAACGAGATAAATAATGTTATATGATACTGTTATAATTATAATTAATGTCTTCCTATAGAATCTGATTTATTGTTATTGTTTAAGAGAAATATTTCTATTTTTTTTATAGCTAAATGATTGTAACCTGAATTTTTTTACATACAAATGTCCACTAACTAAACTATGTCAATTATTGTATTGTATTATGTCAATTAATTATGATACTATGTCAATTTAATTTGGTAATGTTATTAAGTTAAGTTTAATTGTAAGCAATAATTATCTTATGTTTTTTACTATATTTATGATTATGTTTTTTAGTTATGTTATTAATAAACAGAAAATAGAATATTCCATTTTTACAAATATGTTAACTGTGTAATGATTAATCGGTAAAAAAAACTTAAAAAATATAAATAAATTCAAAAATTTATTAATCGAGTTTTTATTTTATTTTTGTATGTGGTTTTAAAAATTGTTTATTTCTTTTGCATTAGAGTTGAAAGATGTAGAAATTTGATTAATTATGACAGTCAACAATAATATTGTGTGAATAGTTGTTTTACAAGATAACTTGAATAACACCATCCACAAATATAAAGCTATTATACGATAATATTAATAAAACTATAGTTCAATGAGAAATTACTTTTAAAAAACAGGTTGGGGAAATATTATACAATCTCAAAATTGAAACGGCTTTAATTTCTAAGATAATTTGTTTCCGGAAAACAATTTTTACACCATCAATTGAATCATAAGAACAAGTTGTTTAAGAAAAATAATTTTTAATTGCTCAAGGCCAGTAAAGTATTTAAAATTATCAAAATTAGGGCCCCCCCAGTTTTTAATCGTATTTTAGTTTAAAACATTAATTATCACTTTATCAGGTTCTGTGCTGTTGATGCAATTTGTTCTCAATTTTAATATGTTTGTGTACATTACGTGGATGTAACATTGATTATTTAAATGTAAAACACTATCTTTCATACCTTGTGCCTTACATCAGTGGCGTATTTAGGAGGGGGGCATGAGGAGCAAACTGTTAGCAAACTTTACACATGTGTTGTAAGTTTTTTTATGGGTGAAAAAAATTGCCATGCGATAAAAAAACTGGTGGTGGAGAAGGGGGCATCAAAAAAATGTGTTCCCATGTCAAAGAAATCCTAAATACGCCACTGCCTTAAATATTTAAAACATTTAAATTGGTATACCATTATAGAGCCCAAACTATTCAATTAATAGATTGGTAGAACAGTATTATGAATTTATGAGGGGTAGGTCACCTAAAATAATTAGAGCAACACCTATTTTTTTCATGATACCTACACACTACTGAGTACTTGTCGGTCATCAGTCATCACTATTCATCACTTGTCAGTCGTTTACATAAAGTCTACACCTATATACGCTATATTTTATACGACTTACCATGATTTAAGAAAGGAGTTATATAGTATTATAAATTATAATACACTGCAGATCTCAATTCTTGTAAACATTTTAGATTTAGACTAATAGGTAAGTATCTAAGTAGTAAATTGTGAAAAATTACTAATTACCATAAGCATTTTAAGCCGGGACAGCAACTGATCAATTGATTATTAAAATGTATACAGCATTACGCCATCCATTACAGGCTACAGCAAGCGAAAAAGACGATGTCAGTCGTCAGGTACGTCGGGTGACCTGAAATGTTACTGTTTTAAAAATCCGCGGGTTACACCAGATATCGTATTTATGTGGCTAAACTGTATACATATTTTGATAAGTAATTGTTTTGAGGTTAATTCCATTATCACAGAAAATGTTATTAGAAATTTTGCCGGCCGCCGAGATCTCTCTCGATTCCATGCTATAGTAAATTATAATATTTTAGTCCGTGGTTTATCAATATTTGTACCAATCACAGCATAGGACGCGAAAATTAACAGATACGCGTTGGACGCTGAAACGTTAACAGACAATAAGACAACTACAGTAGCGACTACTTCCGTTTCTATTTATCTTTTATTTGTTAAATTGTTTCACTTTCGTAGTTTCATCTTTCACGTCAGACCGTTAAATATCCACTACGTGATGTCTATTGGTGTTCCTATTAAAGTGTTGCACGAAGCCGAGGGGCACATCGTCACTTGCGAAACGATTGATGGCGAAGTTTATCGTGGTAAGCTTATTGAGGCTGAAGACAACATGAACTGTCAGGTATTGTGTTAAAAACAAATTAGAGTATTGATCTTTTAAATAGTTCATTATGTACTTGTGCTGAATAAGAAAATTGTAATGTCATACAGGTATCGCATGTGACAGTTACTTATAGAGATGGACGTGTTGCCCAGATGGAAAATGTGTATGTGAGAGGTTCAAAAGTGCGATTCATTATACTCCCAGACATGCTTCGGAATGCTCCTATGTTTAAAAGTAAAATGACTATGGGCGGAGCAGCAGGACGCGGGAAGAGTGGAATGATACGGTCATCAGGTATCCATTGATTGTTTTATTTTTGTTGAGGAATTAACTATATAACTTGTATGTTTAATATTAATCATTATTCTCATATTTTAGTTGGACGAGGTAGAGGACGTGGCGGTCCTCCAATGGGTCGGGGAGGGCCACCCATGGGACGCGGCGGTCCTCCAGCAGCTGGATCATGGAATCAAAGACGTTAATCTTATAAATGATATAAATTGTAAACATAATACCTACTTCTCTTTTAAGGTTTATAAAAGGTCCTAAAAGATCACTTCAATTTAAATATATTATATAACATGAATGTGTTCAAATAATTTTGAAATAAATACATTTCACACAAAATGTGTGTATTATTTACACAATTGAACGATATAATAATTATACTATATAAAATACTTATAAAAATAACGTATTCAAAGCCTCAACTTTAAAAATAAAATTTAATTCACTTATGATAATACTGAAATAAATTATAAAAGTATACAGATTTAACCGATTGTATTTTATTTATTTGCATAAACGAAGATTTAATTATAATTATTATATTTCAAAAATAAATATTTATGATGATAACATTTTAGATAATTACTGCTGAACTATGGCGAATTCGATCTTATAAAATGTTTACTATATTTTTACATATGGTACAGTGGTACAATAGTATAGGTAGTAGATACTAGATACATTATTAATTGTTTAAGGATCTACCCATGTGTTTTTTGTCTCAGTCTTACTAATGGACGGCATATAATATGTAATTTTTTGAATTGGTTTTAATCTCCCTACGACGCTATTAAAATTTTGCGATCCACATGTTAGGGCCTCTAAACACCATCTCCTAGATTTTTCTGGGTACCTATTTCAATTTTGAAATAATTTTAAAATTGTAAATTTTTTTCATTTCAAATCTGTATTACCTGAATATAATAAGTATATTTTTTTATTCAGGCAGTTATTGTTTTTAACCTATATTTAATATAAAATGTCATAATGTATTTTTCAAAATATGCTTCCAACCGGTCTATGTGGGTCAACTTCAGTTTTAACTTCATTATATTCATTCAAGATCAGATTCATGTATTCATTGAACCCAACAAATTGTTCTTTGATAAATTTCCTCTAGAAGTCAAGTCTGTTATTGGAATACGAGACCTATCTATTTTATTGAACTGTTTACATTTTAATATACTAGAAAGTTATAAGTTAGGCATTGCTTATAAATGAATACATTCCTCGTAAAAATAAATATATAGGTTAGTTTATTATTAATTTAATTATCTTCAATTTTATTTGTTCATTTAGTTAACTGTTAGTTAAATACCGCTTTATTAAGTTGTAGCGAGTGGTTAACCCACCAATTAGATTATGTTATCTGCGATCTATCTACTGCAGCTCCCAGGTTGCATTAAACGACGTTTAATTGATTAAAAAATATTATTCAAGATGCTGTTAGTTGTTACTCCATTTTTTTACTGTGAAAGACGCCCCCGGTAGGTTGTTAAGACTTGTCATCTGACTAGGACCGAAACAATTAATGTTGTTGATTGTTAGTCTTCGTTACTATAAAATAAACATGTCGTACACTCATGTACGGGAAGAAATGATTATTATATATATTTTTAATAATCAATGATAGTCGGTCAGCGACGTACCATTACATAATATATTGATATGTGTCTTAACTTTTCACTTTTGAGTCAAACTCAACTGGTAGTAGGCAGTAGCAAATACTATGTATTATGACAATACGGAACAAATAATGTTAATAATTGTAGAAAACAGGGTCCCCTGAAGTGTTACAGTGAATATTCAAATCCTACACCTGAATTTGGGTAAAAAATTGGGACCTTTTCCGTTAATTCACTACCACTATTTTTTTTTTTTTTGGTTTTTCCGTTTTTTTTTTTTTTTTGTAACAACATTTAAAAAAAATGCAGTGATTATAATTAGGTACCTAGTATCACTACCGTCATATATATAATATAATATATTATTATGATTTCTCAGCTTAATTACCCGGGTATTAACCATCTTAACTAATTAAATTCCTATATAAATGTAAGTATAACAATATTTAAAATAATATATTTACCGATGTATTTTGCGAATATTTTGCCGATTTTGATATTTAGAAGATAATTTATTAATTATTTCATCAGGTAAATGATTTAGTTGAAATTTATATTATTACTATTTGTAGTTAGATTGTGCATCACAGCATATTTTTTCTTTTACCTAATTACATGACAAATTTGTCATACCTAAATATATGTACCGAACCTTTTTGTAGTATACTAAACGACCTGTCCTGGCTAGCTTTCCATAGTTCCATCGGGGGTACATGTTGTCGTTATGTCGAGATTTTTGACACTAGTTGTCTACTTGTCTCGTATTGTCATTTATAGTATTTGGTGATTAATAGGTGCCACTGCCACTTTAATTTACTTGGGACCTGGGTAGTGGGGACCAAGTAGCACCTACCGATGACCGACTCACACCAGTTACCATGAACTAAGATATAGATATACTTAGTATATCTTAGTTCATGCTGTAGACGTTGAGCGGTGTGCATAGGTTCGAACTTCGAGGTATAAATAGGCGATTTAAAATTAATGAAAATCTCACCATGAAAATTATAAAATAACATATTAAGTAAAATACATTTTTGGTCCTCACGAATAATACCGAATTCCGATATAACTTTTTATATTACAAGAAAAAAACTAAAATCGTTTAATGAAAAATTGTTATTCTACTTATAAATATCTAATTTTGTCAAAATGTTATTGTAAATATAAAATATTTTAAAATTATTGTTTTCGATTTATGATCAAATTTTCAAGCGTTTTCACCAAGCGAACAATTTTTATCGATGTCGAAAAAATCGATAATGAATTTAAATAGCTCAAAAAGATACGAAATATTTTGAAATATATTCATCCATGCACCAACATTTGATACAAGCTTTTTTTGAACTAATGCTTTTTTGGGTACAAAAGAGTAAAGACTAAGGTCCATTTGAATCACGATGTATATTAAAGAGAAGAATTGCATCGCGCAGTGTGACGGCAGTGTTGTAGTTTTTGCTATATATGACTGCATGCAAAGTGCAACCTGCGGGCTACGATTCGAACTTCAAACAGATATATAAACAGCTATATATTATACTATATAGTAGAAATATTATCATATTATTATTAAGAATTCAACAATAAATAGATTGGTTTATCCGCCGACACCGGCTGACTAGCGTAGAGACTCGAGAAATAAAATATAGTATATACACGTACTGGGCTGCAGGTCTATGGCAACGGCATGATCTTTTATTTTTTCATTTTTAATAGAGGTTAACAATAGCTAAAATGATCGGGAATTTTTGGTCGTTAGTAAAATAATAATCATATTATTATGTATTATATAATATGGCTAGTTGATAGTGGCCCGTGACTGTAGTTATATACTTGGTAATGTCCACTGTCTTCTCAGTTCTCCGCAGTGATCTATAAATTCATTATTCGACCAACAGGCATCAAGACTTGCAACATTGTACAGTTAATTTAATTCGATCTCTAGCCTATTCTCGATTAAAAAATAGATTATAAGAAATCATTAAATTTTATTATTATTTGAAATAAATTAGTAACTTTGTCGTTGTAGGTTGTATCGAGTATCACCCATTTTGTTTTTTTAGTTTTTCAGTTTTGTACTAGTAATCGCGGTCCATTCTTAGACTTAATCCTACAAATTACCACCAGAATACTAGGAAACGAATTATCTAGTAAGTATTTGTTCCGATTTTGACTACATTTCGTGTGTTAGAATTTTTCTCTATTGTAGGAACCGTTAATAAATAAAAAAATAAAAAATGTAAATACAGAGACGATGTAAATTGTTAGTATTAATTGGCCAGTGGAAACTTGTTTCCTGTTTTAGTTACAGATGTCAGATACGTTAAGCTGTTTTGTATAACATTCAAAAATTAATGTATAATGTTGTCGATAGAATGAAAGACCTCGTAAAAAAAAACAATTTTTCAATTTCTGAAGTACGAAGTACTATGATCTATGAAAAAGTCTTAGTATGTATTCCCCACTGAACTATTTAAATTGTTATAAATATAACTTTGTGTGTATTATAGCGACGCCTATAAGCACGTGGTATTCACAACATTCTATATTCTATAATCTCTAAAATAAAATTCTTACGAAAGTTTTAGATTTATTGCTTGTTATTATTCAATTTTTGATTTTAGTTATCGGGAAGAAATTTATAGTTAAAATGTATTGTTTTGATTTTAATAGGTAGGTAGGTATTTATTAATTATATCTGTTTTTTTTATATATATTACCCATAATCGTATGGATTCAGAATGATCTATTTAGGTGTCTACTCTCATCTGTACTCTCATTATTTTGAAAAGTTCTATTTTTTTTTTAAAGTTTTTCTTACTGTTTTTATCTTCATAGTTGGAAAGTTTTTTTAGTTTTCGAAAGACCATAGGCAGGTACATTTTAAATTTCATATTATAAAGCACTAAAGCAGAATATTATTCTGAGTATTTTAAACTATGACCATTTAAAGTTGTAAATTTGTAATGAGCGGAATAGAATTTTACTACTCTGCTCTTCTAAACTTTAAATGCTTAAAAAGTAGTTACCTATACAGAACTTCTTGTCTGAAATTTGATCTTTAAAGATTGAAATACTTAGATTAATATTCTGCTTCTGAATATGAAATTAAAAATGTTAGGTATCATTTAAAAAACCAAACCAATTTTTTTAATTTAAATATTATTTTTATAATAATTTTTTTGTAACCTCAGTTACCTAAAAGTTCGACTTTGCTTTGAACCATTTTTCATTTTAAACTAAGATTTATCATTTAATTGGAATTAAATTATTGATCACATCTATTACAGTAATCTACTTAATGTTTAGGTACACTTGACATTGCTGTACAGTAAAGCGGGTACTTAGTTGACGGCTTTTGGCTCTTTATTTTAATTTAGAATTATTGAGATGCTGAATTTTTAAAATTTTAAAATGTTAATTAATTTAAAGTAGGTACATAATGGGTAGGTAGTTACATAAACTCTGATGGATTTTCATTCTGTTTGTGACATAGGTAATACATATATACAGAAACACAATATTTTTAATGTTTTTATTACATTTTGTATCACTATAATTGTCTACACTTCTACAGCATGGGAATATTTTTCTAAATTATTAGATTAGGTACAAGTAAGGGTAAAATTTAAGTTAATAAAATACTCTTACCATTAGGGTGATGGATTTGTTTGAATGATTTGTCCATGTCAAATAAAAATAAGCAATGATGGG